GAGTTCATAACAACTCAAGTCTCCATAAACCATGTAGCCATCATGGGTAGTAAATGATCATACTTTTTAGATGATTCCTTTGAGTTAAGTATTCAGGAGTTGAGTAAAGCCAAGTTAAGTGTTTTTTTTCAGATTCCTTTCAATCTTATGTTATGTTTAGCTTTCCACTCGTACATTCAATGTACTGATGCCAGTTGGCCTGCATCGTATTATGATGCAGACAGAGGTAACCAGGATCAGCATCCAATGCCTCATTGATCTAGTTGAGCACTCAGAGTCAGTTGTTGAGCCTCCTTGTTTCCAGAGGATCCTTTTCATATTTATTTAGCTTTTCAGTTGTTAGGATGATCAGGGGTCCTGTCCCGACATCCCTCCTTGTTTTAGAGGCTTCATAGGCAGTTAGGAGTTCAATTGTCTTTACATTATTATTTCATATGTTAAGACTTGAGTTGTCATTTTGGCCAAGTTGAATGTTTGACCTTTAAACGTTCTAAGTTATTTTATTAAACAATTGAGTAAAAGTTCATTTGACAATTGTAATAATGCTTAGAGTCTTTCGCTGAGTAAGTAAGCCAGGCCAAAGGTTCATTTGGGACCAGGAATGGTTCTCGAGTGCCGGCCACGTCCAGGGTGTATGCTACGAGCGTGACAAACTTATTATCAGAGCATAGAGTTCAAGAGTCCTAGGGAGTCTATGAAGTCGTGTCTGTAGATTCCTAGTTATCGGTGTGAAGTGTGCCACATCTATAATTAGGAGGTCAACCATTTCTATCCGGTGTTCAATCAAAACAATTGAAGTCCAACTATTTTTGCATGAACTTTGGACACCACATATCCAAAGTGGATAAATATGCAAAAAGAAAAATATAAATTCAAATTTAGTACTCTTATATGTGCACGCGTAATGGGGGCTTCTTATGTTCAATAAGTCCTCAACTTTTTTGGAATGCAAGGAATGGTGCAAGATTGATCATGCAATTTGCTAGTCCAGTGGTGCTCCCTGCTACAATGGGTACTTGTAGGATTATGGAAATACTGGTTGCGACACTTAGGAAATTATCTCATTTCTTTCATACTCATTTCATGCGATAGAGTTCATCTCTATACATTTTCTTTCTAACTCGTGCTTACACGTAACCGATTGTAAGCTGGGCTTTGTTTGAGAGTGCCTTCATGAGGCGTTTCTTTCCCCGCGAGCTAAGAGAAGCAAAGAGGTGGTTGCTGACATGAGAAGTAGGATGAGTTTATTCATTATTGGGTTGTCTCGTCTATCAGGTAAGGAAAGTAAGGTAGCCATGCTAATAGGTGACATGGGCATAGCAAGACTAATGATCCATGTGCAACAAGTTGAGGAGGACAAGCTGAGGGATAGGGAGGAATTTAGAAATAAGAAAGCTAACACAGGAAGTGAGTCTGGGCAACAAAGAAGTAATGTGAACCGTTCGTCCTTTCAGCAAAAGCAAAATGGACCTACTCCATCATCCGTAGACACGTAATTTTTGGCCGAACATAAGATTTTACGCTATTTTGAATCATTAGAAGTACAAATGGTATTATTATGTCACAGAGTAATTATACCAGTGATATATTGTGTAAGGAGAATATGGTTGATTGCAAACCTGTTAAAATGCCTATGAGTGTTATTGAAATACCCAAGGTCAATGATGGTGGATTATCTGCGGATGCAACCAAATATAGGAGGGTAATCGGGAAGCTTCAATATTTGTCCTTCACAGACATTTGCTTCTCAGTAAACAAGTTGTCACAATTTATGCAAACTCCCTCAGAGACTCACTGGAAAGCTGTAAAATGGGTACTACGGTATCTTCAAGGGACTGTTCATTTTGGTTTGCGTTTGATGCTCCATAATTCCCTCTTTACATATGTACTATGATGTGGATTAGGCTGGAGACGCCAGTGATCGCGCTTCCACTACTAGTTATCTTTTGTTTTTTGGCAAAAATCCTGTGACTTGGTCCTCCAAAGAGCAAAGAACGATTGCTCGTTCTTCCACTGAAGCTGAATATCGAGAAGTTGCAAGTTCCCTTGCATAAACAAACTGGGTCACCAACCTTCTGGCTGAGCTGCAACTTAAACTTCAAAATGTCCGAACTATCTACTGTAATAATGTTGGTGCTACGTACTTATGTGCCAATCCACTTTTTCATAGTCGCATGAAATATATTGTGGTGGATTTCCATTTTGTTCATAAACAAGTTCAGCTCAAGCACATTCAAGTTGTCCATATACACATTGTGGACCAACTAGCAAATACTCTTACCAAGGCCCTTTCCAAACCAACCTTCGACATGCACATGTTCAAGCTAGGCATTGTTGCACACTGCTTACCTTGAGGGGGGCGTATCGGTGCATTAGTTAGTGTTTACTAGTTACTGCAATATAAGTCTTTAGTTATTGTGGTTTAAGTTTTTTTGTTACTGCTTTTCTTTACTATTTACTAAGTCTTTAGCAGGTAAATAGGATTAGCTTTATCTCCCCATTTTTTGGAGTTAGCTTAGGATATTGTTAGACTCAATTGTGTATATCAAGCTATAACATTCCAGACATAAGCAATTAAGTTCTTCTACAGCTTATCTTGTTTATTTAGCGCAAACCAATAACTAGAAAAACAAAATAATAATTTGGAGAAAACAAAGAAAGAAACAACAAAAAATATTTGCTTTTTCTTCCCTTTTTAAAATAATGAAATTCAAAAGGGGTTTTTTACACCCACAAATCAAACTCAAACAAATTCAATTTAGAACTCATTGGATAAAAGAGCATGTTTTTGTTGCATGAACACATTGGTCTAAATAAGACAAGCCAAACTACCACCAACTAATGGGAAATTCAGTAGATCCAGAAACCCTCAAAGTTACTAGTGAGATGGTGAGCCAAATATTTCAGTTTTTATGTTATTTCCTTCTTCATCTCAGCCTATCCACAATGATTTATTCATTTTCCCCTAGAATTTTAAGTTCAAAATCTCTAGTTCTGCTGTTTTCTGCCTCTATAAATTAATTTGGGATATTCTGGTTTTCTTACCGTGGCAAGCCGCATAACTGAAGAATGCAAGTTGTTTTTCACATGCATTGAACTGGTGTTTCACATACTGGAGATTTTTGGGATATTTGAAGCTGATGGTTCTAAGTAAATATTTGTTGCATTGTATGTACTAAACCAGTTAGAACCGAAAGTTTTAGAAAATTTTCATCTCTATTTGGTTCCAACTCATAGTTTGTCAATTATTTTATTTTCCCCTGAAGGTACTCAATGTCGTATAGCACATGATATGAAGTTATAGATCATCTGGCATGCTGTGTATGTAGTCCTCACCTAAAATTATGTGTAGGCTTTGGAGAAAATTAAGAAATATGGCGTATAAGAGGGAATAGGATCATATGATGTTAGTCTAATTTTGTTGAAAAATTGTTGAAGTGTGTGACCATATTATCTAAAAGCATAAGCTATTAGAGAAAACACACTTTTTATTAGTTAATTATAATCTCAACACGCTCCCTTATGTGCGGGCCTGATTTTTTTTCATGGGCCAAGTACATGATTTTTTTTTCTATGTGTGGCAGCGAGATTCGATCTCAGGACCTCTGTCTGCTCTAATACCATGTTGAAGTGTGTGATCATCTCATCTAAAAGCTTAAGCTATTCGAGAGAACATACTTTTTATTAGTTAATTATAATCTCAACAAAAACACAAGACAATGAAATTGTTGATGGTCAGAAGAGGGATAAATTTATTCAAAAAGAAAAAAGAAAAGCATGGGGGAAGAATATGGGAGTTGTATGGTCAAAAGTTATTTAAAGTATTATCCTATTGTAGTATAATAGATTAAATTTCAACAAACTTGGTAGAAGAAGGGTTAGTCTGTTTTAGAGCTTTTTTAGTTGATGTTATTTTGGTTAGAAGAATGTGTATTTTGAAGAAAAAACATAATATATTGTAGAAAGCTACTATTATGTATTACAAGGTATGTAATTTCTCCATTGCTTGAAGTTATGTAGTGTCTTTTCAAGACTATTATACATCAACTTCAGCCCAAATATTGTCATAGAGTCCAAAATAAATTGTCTCCCCTTCATGGGATCTCTCATTTGTTCATCGACAACGTCATTGCTTCACATATAAGGATAATTTTTTCTATTCTTGAGGAAATCCCTTGAAAGTTAATGTGTTTGCATGTCCATATTTTTTTATTTCTAATTTATCCTTATCTATCTTTACTAAATTTTATGACTAGATATTATGAGTACTTTAAAGATGGACAGTTAATTGAAGTGTAAGTCTATTTTTTGAGGTATGTTATTCCAAAACATAGGTCCTTTTCTGGATAGAATGATTTGTTATCATCATTGGATATCTCATAGTTTACTCCTTTTAATGTATGATTTTTATTGGCTATTTTGTTGTCTCCTTAATATTGTATTGATTATTTTTCATTTAATATATATGTGATCTCACTTGGACAAGGTTTTAGTCCTTCTAATGTTTTTCCTTTTTTCCTTCTCATTCGGCTCTTCTAAATATTTTTGGGGTGAGTTGTGACTATTTTCGGCAAGTTTAATTTGAAATATATGAAACAAAATCTACTCTAAATAAAATTAATAACTTAAGCTACAAAAGTTCTGTCGATTAACATGGATTTGTTGTTCTTCCTATCCCAAGTAATTGCCGAGTGTTTGAGCTATCCAGGTTAGATTCATTTAAGTTTTTTCATGTTCAAGAATATCTTTTTAACATGAGTCTAGAATCCAACATTTTGATCTATTTGTACTTTCATAATGCAACAAATATACATACATATTTCTGAAGAGGTTGTAAAGTTTCACATATGAAATATCTAGAAGGGCCTTGAGAGCAGCAATATAATAAAGAATGAATTTCTAAAAAGGGTCAACAATATTATTTTATTGTTGTTTTCAAATTTATGTTTCTCCTTCTATAAATTTTGATTGAGTAATAAAGTATCAATAATGAAAAGTGGTGAACGTTTGGCCTTGGACAAGTAGATTATGTGTCTAATTTTTTAAAATTATGTTGTTGTAGCGTAAATTTTTAACGGTCTAACTTATACTTGGGAGTTGGAAAAGGAGATGCGAGTTAATTGTTCTCTCTTGTTTCTGTCTACAGGTACACACTTACTTTAAATTCGGGGATCGAATTTCTTAAGGTGGGGAGAATGTAATACCCTATAATTTAAGTTAAGGGCAAATAAGTCATTAGTTATAAAATAAACAGTTTGGGCTAAAAGCCCTAGGCAGCCATGCTGCAACTTTCAGCAGAAAGAAAAAAATTGAACAGAGAGAGTAAGAAAGAAAGAACGGAAGGTTGAGGGAGAAGAAGGAGAAATAGACTTATTCGAAGGTTTTTCTTATTGTTTTTCTTCTCCTACAGCCTCTCTAAGATTATTAGATGGGCCATTCACTGTAGGTGTTGAAATCTAATTACTAGAGGCTAATAATTGGAGAGCAAGGATTGTACAGACGAATAAATCATATATATTTTCTATCTGTTTTATGAGTAGCAAGATACATGATTGATCAATGGATTTGGGATGAGAATACCAATATACAGAAGTATATTTTATACTACTCCTACTGCCAAATATGCTCTCAGTAGAACTAGTTGGAATTACATTGTTATGTTGAACTTGAGTTGTTGTTAACTGTAGTAATAGCCAAGAAAATTGTTTGAGCAACTGCAAGATATGAATACTTAGAGCTTTTAACTTGTTGCTGCTGAAATTGAAGGAATATATCATCACGGAATAAGATACTTTGACACATTGAGAGTTAAACCTGAAACTTGAGGGTTGGGTATTTTAAATAGTTATAGAATTAGCTTAAATATAGAATCTAACTAGAGATTGATATGAATGTGATTATAGATTGACCAATGGGATTCATACGGATTACTCGAGTGACGAGCTTGGTATTTCAACACAAATACTGTGAGTAGTAATCTTACCACAATTGGTATTTCATAAATTTCATGATGTTTACACGGTTTATAAAGTAAATGTGTTACCGAATGTTTTGAACTTGCATGTGGGACAAGTCTTTTACTTGATATGATACTGAAAAGATTATTTGAGATGATCTCATTTTTATTAGATATGATTATTGTTATTGAAAGGGTTCTACAATTATTTGAGAAATGATATTTTGACATGGGATTGTTAAACTTTGAAATGATGATGTTTGATAAGATTTAAATGCTTTGGTCGATTTTGAAGTGCTTCTATTGATTACAAGAAAAGTTTAAATGGGAATTGACCTTAATGAATCTTGTAGCTAAAGGCAGGTTTGTTAGACCTGGTGCACCTTGTAGTTATAAATACTGATAACGCCCTTGCTAGTGGAAAGGTAGAACTAGCATACCGTTACCGATATCCCTCGAGTAGGGATTGACCGATATGAATACTTAGCTCCTTTATGAGGAGTTCACTGTTATTGGTTACTTCTTTAAGAGAAGGCCACACTGATTACATGATTCATTCTTTGAAACCTCCCAGCTATAAGATTTGATTTTATATGGAATTTTTTTTCCTGAGTTTATAGCTAAAAGTTTACCTTGATATTGCTTACACGAGACAAATAAGATTGAATATTGTTTTCATCATTTGATTATCATACTAGCATGTTTTCTGACTTGTCCCTCATTAAAATGGTTGTGGTTAAGTATTATTACTCACTGAGCTAGCGTCTCACTCCTCGCTAAATATTTTTACAGAGAATTCAGGTGACATTGGAGAAGACTTCATTAATTAGAGAGTGTGGATTGATAGTATCTAGTGAGCCTTGCATTGCTTTGTGTGGCAAGAGACGTATTGGAATTGCTATGATTTATTTGTTTCTTTAAAAACTCTTAGAGTCGCTCCATTTGTCATTGTTTTATTTGAGTCATGATTATTCCTTCGCATTGTAGTCAAGTGACTAGTTTTGAACTTCTTTTTCGTATTTGGAGATGAAATTGGTATTATTGAGTGACAATTAGATCATCAATGGACATTATATTTTGGTTTATAGTTGTTACTAT